ATCTATTTTTGTTTTTCTAAGGATTTGTGGTTGTTCTAGTAGGAAGTTAACTTGCTTCCTACTTGACTCAAACTGTGAAAATGCTCTCCCCTTCAGTAGCAGCAGCTGATGTCTCTACCCAATTGCTGCTTTATTACAAGCCTGCTGCCTGAGGGTATCCCTGAGCCTTTGTAGTTTAGCAATCAGACCAAGAGTTGGGTATTTTGATGCTCACCCTCTTTGGGGTTCCCCTGGTTCCAATCCCAAGGCTTCCCAACCTAAATTTCCAGTTGCTCTGCCAATCCTGAATTTTGCCCTTTGATACATGAATTCAATAAGGCTTCTGATTTTTGCCACTGAAGCTGTGTGTACTTTGGGGAACACATTCTGTTGAAGGAACAGTAAACTTGCAAATCTCGCCAGGAGAAGCTATCTTTCACCATGCCCCTAGTTTTGCCAGTGTTTTTGCTAGGCTTTCAGGACCTCTCAGGCACATGCAGATGAGAGATCATTCAGGGATTCAGGCAGAGTTTATACTCAGATCTTAAATCTCAGCCCTTTTGTGGCTCTCCTGTTTCCAGAATGTACCCCTTAAATTTCATCTGCTCTGATCTCTGAATTTTGCCATTTTCACCTTGAGGTGGTAAGAATGTGGTATTCCACTGCTAGATCTAGAAGGAATAGGAGCATCCCTAGCAAGAAAGCCATAAACTCACCCAATCAGTGGCAGTCTTTAAATAGTAAACTCTTTTCATATTTCAGCTTTGGTTATTTTCCAGAACCTTCCAATAGTTGTTTTTACTAATCTGACTAATTCTTATCATTGTTATCTGCAAGAGCAACTATCTGACCTCTTTGAGCTACCAGTACCTGCAATCTCCCTGGACTATTTTAATAGTCTCCTGTCTCGTCTTCTGCTTCTGCCCTTACCTTCTTACACCTTCCTTACCTTCTCTTCTCCACAGAGAAGCCAGACTTATCCCTGTGAAACATGAATCACATTATACCACACCACCACACAAAATTCTCAAAAGCTTCACATTTCACTCAGAATAAAAGCCATATATGGCCTACAAGTTCTACCTGAAGTTTCCTTAGACCACCTCTCAAACCAGTCTCACCTGGACTGTTCTGTTGTACTTACACACCAAGCATGCACCTGCTGTTCACTCCACCTGAAAGCTGGAAGACGGCTGCATGACTGACTCCTTCACTTTCTTTAAGCCTCTACTGAAGTTTTATCTTGTTAGAGATGTCTGTGATTATTAAAAAAAAAAAAAAAAAAAAATTCTCTCCAACACACAGTTTCCACTTCCCCATCTTGTCTTGCTTTCCTTCTTTGTATTTACTGCCAGCTGATATTATTTTCTACTATATGTATATTATTCACTATGTATCTACCCTCACTAAAATGTGAGCTCCATGTGGTGGGTACTTTATTGTGTTCAATACAATAGTCCATAATTACAGGGCCTAGGACAGGACCTAGTCGGCAGAAGGCACTCAAGAAACATTAGTTGAATTAATGAATGAGTTAAGTGCTGCTGTTTGTTAGGCATTATTAACCCTTTCTATGTATTCAATCATTCACGTTTCACAGTATCCCATCAGGTAGGTACTAAAATTAAACCCATTTTATAGATGAGGAACTAAGGCACAAGTTGAAGCAATTGTCTAAGTTAACACAGCTAATAAGTGGTGGAGCCATGATTTGACCAAGGCAGACAGTCTGCAAAGCCATAATTTATGCATGCCCTTGAAATAGTTATTTTCAACATATTTCCTCTTTATCTTAAAAAATTATTATTTTTTTTCTCTAGTTCTTTTTATATGATCAATGGAGAAGAAACTTGCAGGACTCTGACCAGGCCAGAAGATTACCTGGTGAATGAAACCTACTGAAATGACTACACTGAGGATTTTTAGAAACAACTTTGTCCCATAAAACAGGAAATGATTGTGTCAAACATCTGTTTGTGTACTTTCACACACTGTGCATATAGCTCTTGGAATTGTGTTTACTTGTAACTACTGATACAGAACCAGCAAAAAACCATACTCCTTGTGAGTCCCTGATAAAAATCCATTCCAGTCTCCTTGTTGCTCCTTAAACACATTTGCACATGTTCTCACTATTCGGAATGCTCTCCTTCCAGGTATCTTCATGGCTCATTTTTGTCCTTATTTAGACCTTTTTTACAGTGTTACCTCAATGAGGTCTTGCCAGGACAACCTATTTAAAATTAAAAACATACTTTCCTCTTCTACCTCCTCGTCTCTACTCCTCCCTTATCTATTTTTCTCTGTAGCAATTAAAAATCTTTTTTTTGTCTATATTCTCCATCTAGAATGCAAGCAAGATGAAGGTAGGGATTTTTGTTTGTTTTATTTACTACTATTCCCTAACTCCTAGAAAAGTGCCAGGCACAGAGCTGACACTTGGTAAAAATTAACTCCTCAACTTACAACTTGGTAAATGTTTCCTGACTGAATGAATAAGTGAACGTCCCCAAAATCACACAACTGGAAGTGGTAGAACTGAAATTTAAACTCTATCTGACTCCAAATTTAACTGCTAAATTGTACTGTCCACAATAGCTAACAATTCCTTAATAAGATGCAAATCTGGTCAAAGGATTCTAATGTTCTTCTCTGACACAAACAATGGACCTCATACAGTGTTGGGAAAAAATGGCCATCTTCACACAAACAAAAATTAAGATTCCTGATAAGCACAAATTATAAAAATTCACTTTTTATTACTAGAGACAGCTGACTATTTGTACAATTGAACGTTTTGTATAAAAAAGTTTGAAAGGCCATAGACATTTCAAAGGTGAACAATTTAGTCTAGAGCCTATAGTTGTTGGACAAATAAAAAATTAATTGTAAGGTTTTCCCAAAAGATGTTAGCATTTTATTTCTAACTTAAGACAAGTAAATTTTTTTATTCATTCATTCATTCATTTAATTACGCCTTGCTAGGTATTTATTAGCTACCTAATCTGACCAGACATCATTCTAGGCATTAGGGATACAGCAATGAACAAATGAATTCTTAAAAGGGGGAAAGACAGTAAAAAAACAAACAAACAAGGAATGAATTAGTGCCATTAAACATTGATTTTAACAATAAATGGACTTGGTAATTAATTGCTAAATAATTCAGAGTAGACTTTTATCAAGGTGGGGTGAAGAGCTTAGATTCTGGAGTCAGATGACCTAGGTCTGAATCTTCCATTACAAGCTGTGTCCCTGGAAAATTAACTCCTCAACTTACAATTTCAAAAATTGGAAATAACAGAACCCATATTGCAAGGCTGATGTAAAGACTGAAAGAGAAAATATATACGAAAACACTTAGCACGCTGCAGGATATATAGTAAATATCAGTTAATCCAATTATTATTAGGATATGTAAGACAATCTAATTCTGTTGTATGAAGACTAGGCTAAACACACATGAAACTCCTAGGTTTTGTATCTAAAGACAATTTCTATTCTGTTCTATTCTATCCTAACTATCTATTTATTTGGAAGCTAACATCAGTACTTCATTAACTTGTCCATTCAAAAAATATGCTTTGAGCACTTAATGCATGCCAAACATTTTACTTGATGTTAGGAGCTAGGAATACATCAGTTGACAAGACAGATACAGACCCTTCTCTTCTGGAGTTTAAGTAAAGTTGTGATGTTTCATAAGCATGAGATATTATGAGAGCAAACTAAAGAGGTGCCTAACTTTTCAACAATAAACAATGATTTTAAAGAAAGCAGTATTTACCAAGTACCATTATAACAGGCCCCTCTCGTGGTGCTTTGCATTCAGAGAATGGGCAAAGAATAAAGTTCACTAGCAAGGGCAAAGTTTGGAAAGCCTGAAACAAAGTAGGAGAAATCTCAGGATCTAAGTTTTTTTTTTTTTTTGGGGGGGGGGCAAGTTCTTGCTCTGTCACCCAGGCTGGAGTACGGTGGCACAATCATAGCTCACTGCAGTCTGGAACCCCTAAGCTAAAGCAATACTCCCGCCTCAGCCTCTCCAGTGGCTGGGATTACAGAGGACAGCCACTCAGCCAAGCAATCTAAATTTTTCGAGGGCAGGAAACCGCAGAGCCTACAAAAATTTATGGCACATAATAAATACTTTAAAATAGTTTTAAAATGAACTAGTGAATATTCAAGATCTTCACTGCTACCATTATAGTTCAAGATATTAATACAATCATCTCTTTCCCGGACTACTGAAATACTCTCCTAACTGGCCTCTTAGCTTATGCTTTTGCCTCAATAATCTATTCTTCAAATAATTCTCAGAGTTATCTTTTCAAATGTAAATTAGATTAGGTCTCAACGTTGCCTAAATACCTCCAAAGGTTCCCATCACACCTGACATCCAAATCTTCCCAAGGCCTAGAAAGGCCTGCGCGATCTGGCCCCTGCTTACCTTCTTCCCTTTAGCCACAACTAATCTCCAGTTCCTAAGGCCTCGGATCCCTTCCGACGGCTCTCCGCAGGCTGCTGCCCTTTCATGTTCCTGGCCGCCTAACTTCAGGCAGCCTCCTTACCCAATCACTGTCATATTATATGTTGTCATTTCCTACTTGGCCATTACCACCATTTGAAATTACCTTTATTTCATTAACTGTTAATTAATCTACCGCGTATCTGGAATCTATAAACCCTGTGATAGTACTGTTCCTCCAGTTTCCCTTGAGTCAAACAAGTATCATTGAATTACTAAATGAATGAACGCCCCTGCCCTGCTTCTTGTTCTCTTTAAACCGTGGAAATATACACGCACCCAGAGAAGAGAGAGAGATCCCTAAGACCGCTCCCGCCCCACTCCTAGGCTACTCCCATCGCTCCCCGTCTCCGGGTGTGCCTCCCCGGCCCCGCCTCGGGTCGCCCCGCCTTGGTCCGCCGCTCCCTTGGTTCTGGCGCGCTTCCACCAGGGGGCACGCTTCGCAGGCTCGGACCCTCCCCTCCTCCTCGCCCCGCCCACTTGACCCGCCATTCACCTGATCCCCTCTCTGCTTCCACTAGGGGGCGCGACTCGGAGGGCCAGGCCTCCACCTCCGCCACCGACCTCCTCAGCGCTGTCAGCACCGTCTCCGGGGGCAAGTCGACCAGCTCCTCCCACACGGACTCCGTGTAGAAGTTTACCGTATGTGCATTGGAAATGGACAAGGCGTCCCTCAGGAACCGCAACAGTCCCTGCAACTTGGCACGCAGCGTGGGCAGGTCCGAGGTCACAGGGAGAGGGCCAGAAGCAGCCATGACGCTCATCCTCCAGGGCTGTAGGTGGCGCAAACATGGCTGTGCGGCAACAGCGCGACCAAAAGTCGCACAGGCTGGATAAGTAGAGGTCCGAGTAGAGGCGATCGATTGCTTCAGTTTGATGACGTATTTTGAGAGCGTCTGTTGTGATATTCTGGCGACGGAATTGGTCTGCGGAAATGGCGCCGGTGAGGCTGGCACAGTGGCCGCGGAACGGGGTTTTGGGAACACGTGGCGAAGGGGGTTCTTCGGTCGCATTCAGGAATAAGAATGTGAAACAGAGGATATGGCGGTCTAACAATTCGCAAGCCTTCTTGGGGAGCGTTCGCGAGGGTATGTAAAAAGGCAGCCATTTACAAGTCCAAGTTTGCGAAGTCCTGGTATACCTGATCCGCCAAAGCTCCGAAGAAGAGTTTCGGAAACAGACTGGGTCCTGCTTGGGGCAGAAGAAACCAATCCTAAGTTCGCTGAAGCTGTGGGCTTCGCAGAGCTCTAGATAGGAAGACGGGGCAGCGTTGCTAGCTTTAAATTTTTAGACGTCTTCCCTGACTTAACCCCATTATTTCATCAGAACACTTTTTCTCTATATTTTTCCTGTGACACCGTAAGCAGAGAGTGTTTACTGGTCCTCTGAAAGTATTATGTGTATGTATCTGCGCCTGTACTACGGTAAAGGATAGAGAGGACAGTGTCAGAAGCAAGTGCCCCAAAGCTTTACTGATTACAAATACCCAGTAGCCTTCCAGTCTTCTCTTATTGTTCTTCCTCGTCTTCGCTTCAGTTTATGTTTGTCTTTTTGTCTGTAAGGTTCCTCAGATCGCACTTGGAATTCATAATATAAATGTTGAATAAGTTCAGTCTTCCGATAACTGCTAGCTGTTCAGGAAGTCATACACCATCTTTTATGCTGAAGTATTTTTGAAAAATCAATTGTATAGTAGTAAGTTTCTCCAACATAAAATAATGTGTTTTTCTATCTTTAAATTTTTTTGAAGAACCTGTTTAAGCGTTTTTAGATGAATGAAGGAATTTGTTCTGATTTGGGGTACAATTGTAAACCTCAGGTTGTTGCAACCGTCAGAACTTGTCAGTTTTTCTTTAAGATTCTTACTGGCATGACTTTCTTTGAGATTGTCTGCACGACTAATGTTAGCCTGGTGGTTTTGCAAAGGGCCGACTTTTCAATCTATCAACTTAGATTTGTTGCTTGAAATAATCTTTTAAAGCAAAACATAAAAAAATCGCAGCATCTGAATTTGATTATGTAAAAAGATTTTCATTTTTAATTAACGACTTTATTTTTCACTCAACTTATTTTCTGTGAAAGTAATTTTGACTTAATATTCCTCAATGTAGGACAAGGCTTTGCATTTCGGAGGAAACTGAAGATTCAGCAAAATTACAAGAAATTGCTATGGAGGAAAAAGAAGGCTCAAACGTCACCAGAATCCCAATTCAAAGATCGATACCCAGATCATCTGAAACATCTCTACTTAGCTGAAGAGGAAAGACTCAGGAAGCAACTAAGAAAAGTTGACCAGCCTTCGCCTGAAGAACAGCATAGCATTGACCAGGCTTTGTCTGAAGATCAGTGTAGCTTTGACCAGCCTCAGCCAGAAGAACAATGTAGCAAGACAGCAAAGTATGTATTTTCTTCTTTTGAAATCCTTTATTTTATGAAAGGCATTATAAGACAATTTATTTCGGAATTGGAATTTTTCTCATTTAATGCATTTTAGAAGTCAGTGTAATTAGGTAAACATATTTTCACTGAGGCTTTATTTTTAGCTTCAATAACCAATGTAGGCTAGTTTAGCTTAATTGAAAAAGTAATGGAATAGGAATTAAGAGATTTGGGGCTTAGATTTCTGCCTCTCAAGTACATGTAATTTGCTTGGACCATAGTTAACTCCTTTTATATTTTTTTAAAAAATAATTTTTGAGAAGTTTATAAGTCTGGCCATTAACAGCATGGGTTCTAGAGCCAGACATGACACGTTGGTGCCCCAGTGCCCTTTTCTCTAATGGGAACAATAATACTGTAATAAGTGTGTACTTCAGAGCCACCGTGTTGCACAAGTCCAGGATGGATTATTCCCATAAACTGTGGTGTTCCCGAAGTGTTTTATGCCATTTTTGTAAAGACTAAGTGAATTAAATATGAGGCACTTAACAAAGTGTAAGATACTTGATTAGTGTTTATGATGGTAGCTTCTACTACTACTGTTATTATTAATCTGGATTTTTCTGCAGAAGACTGGAAGTGGGTTGCAATTAAAAAACAAATGGACTTTGGGAGGCCCTCCGAAGGAGGATAGCTTCAGGCCAGGAGTTCGAAGGAAACCTGAGCAAGGGTGAGACCCCTTCTCTACAAAAAATAGAAAAATTAGCCAGGTGTGGTGGCACGTGCCTGTAGTCCCAGCTACTCAGGAGGCTGAGACAGGAGGTTTGCTTGAGCCCAGGAATTCAAGGTTGCAGTGAGCTATGATCAAACCACTGTACTTCAGCCTGGATGACAGATCAAGACCCTGTCTCAAAAAAAAAAAAAAAAGGGCACATCTCCATAATGCTTTGGTTTTTTAAGAGCTATCTTATAAAACAGTTACTGCACATAGTTCAAGTGAAAAACATGCTAAACTCTAAACTTAAAAGAAGCCAGGTGTTACTTGGGACATTAATTTTTTACTTCACTAAAATTTTATCTTTTAAAGTAGTGAGCTAGTAAATAGGATGCCTGGAAAGACATAGTTGGAATAAAGGTAGAGACACGAAAAGTTCAGTTTTTTCAGTAGGCTTGTTCATGATATTATTAAATAATGAGTATAATGCTCAGGGAAAAGTTTAGCACTAGAAATGTAGATTTGAGTCATTCCCAGTGATAGCTGAAGTGAGGAAGATTAAATCATGAGACAAGATGAGAAGGTAAAAAAATCATTTTTAAATATTACTTTTTATTTTGAGGCGAAAACAGGAAAAAATTGTCATTGGAGAAGTTAAGTAAATGTCTCAAAACTAGATGAAGAGGGAAATAGAGTTGATAGCTAAATCCACAGAGGAAAGTTGTGAGAAGTAGGGATAGTTGATTATCAAATACAGTGATCCCTCATTATTCACAGGGGATATGTTCCAAGTAACCCCAGTATGCCTGAAACCTCAAATAGTACCAGACTCAATTGTCATCGATTGGAACACATTTCTGTTGATGTCTTCTACTCACAGATTTAATGCTTTTTCCGTCTTAAATCATGTACCGTGGCCATAACTTTTGCAGTTTGAGGTATGACTGCAAAACTAACATGGATTTTTTTTCTTTCTTCATAATTTCATGGATGGAAGAACTGTTCTTACTGTAAATCTTAGCAATCTCAGCATACAATTTTTTTGTTAAGTAGAGAGCTTTTATCTTTTCATTTAAAGAAAACATTTTATGGCTTCTCTTTGTCTTAACTGAATTGTCAGTATCACTACTCTGGTGCTTTGGGGCCATTATTATTAAGTAAAATAAGGGTTACTTGAACATCGCAGTGCAATACTATGACGGCCAGTGCAGTGACTAGTAAGTGACTAACGGGAGGGTAGCATATAGAGATTAGATGTGCTGGACAAAGAGATGATTAACATCCCCGGTGGGACAGCACAAGATTTCATCATGTTACCCAGGGTGGTGCACGATTTAAAACTCATGAATTATTTGGTTCTGGAATTTTTCTATTTAGTATTTTTCAGACCATAGTTGACTGCAGGTAACTGAAACCGTGGATAAGGGGGGCACTACTGTACTGTAATGTTCAAGGAAAACAACTGAGAACGAGTCTTTGGATTTATGGACTAGGCAATCACTAGTGACTTTGGAGAGAAATTTTTCAGTAAAAACCCTGATGAAGCTTTCAGCCATACATACATGTGGCATTTGAAGCCGTGGTCATGAATCTGTCTGCCCAAAGACAAGGAGTATGGAGACTAAGAAGAGAAACACCTATACCTTAGGGGGAAAATTTGGAGTGAGGAAGACAGGCTCTAGCATGACAGACTAAGAAGGAGCAATCAGAAAGGATCAGGAGAGAAGAATATCACCCAAATAAGGGAGTGAAATTTTCAAAAGTAGTGAGTAGTCAATTAAAAGAGACTGAAAAGTCTCCACTGATCATGATATTTGACTAGAAGGTCATCACTGTCTTGTCATGGACACTTTGATTCGAGTGGTGAGAACAGAAATCAGACATAAAAAAGTTATTTAGGAGTGCATGAAAAGTGACAATTAGTTAATTCACTTTTCTTTCTAGAAACTTGACTATGAGAGGTTGGGGAATAAGATTGGTAGTTAGAGGGGACATAGAATCTGAAAATGGATAATTTATGCATTTGTTTACTTTGAGAAGGGAGCTACTAAAATATATTGTGGTTATGGAATGAATATAATGAAAAGTTAAGAGGAAAGAAGATTATTATTGAATCAGGTATCCTGAAGAAATAGATGGAATCCTAAGTGGTTGGATTAGCCTTGGCAAGAGGAACGTCTTTGGAGATGTGAGAAGTACTTCAAGCTAGAACAGTTCTAAATGGGGACAAAGGTCCAAGGTGTGGTGATTCATGACTATAGTAGATGAAATAGAATAGTGACAAGGTAGTCAAAGAACTTTGAGATTAAGATTTGTGAACACTCATAATTTCCATAACATCCTTCGGTTAATACCTCTTTCAGTCTTTTATTTCTATCATTCATAGACTGGTTTCTTTTTTGTTTTGTTTTTTAAGATTTTAGGACCTTTAAAACTTTCTGTATATTCACTGGTTAAAGTAGTTTCTGAGAATCTACATTTATCACCTTTTACTTAATCTGTAATCTGAGAAGCTACAACTGTTTTTAGTATCTTATTTGGACATTTTACTAATCAGATTAATGTCCTATTTCTTCCCCCTTTTTTCTCCCCCCCTCAGTTAATTTACATTATGAGATTTTACTGTGTAAGTGCTATATTTGACATAATTGCACCATAATTTTGATTAAATCATTTTTAATCTGTGTGACTTATTTGTCTTAATTTATTTTATAAAGGTCCTTTAACATTCCAAAGAAAAATAAAAAGAAAACATCAAATCAAAAAGCACAAGAAGAATATGAACAGGTACAAGCTAAGCGTGCTGCTAAGAAACAAGTAAGTTCTATTACTACTTTTAAAATATTTAGATATATTTTTTCTGATTTCTCCTAAATGTATATGCCTACTGTGCTTCTTAGTGTTGGTCACATAGTATTTGCTCTGTAAATATTTGTTGAATGAATGAATGGTCTTGCATTATGTTCAAATTCCTTGATTTTTTTTATATTATTTCAGGCAATGCTAGTAGGTAAAGAATACGATTTTAAACATTGTGCTCATAGGTTAATAATATGAGCATTGGGGACAATATTTTTTAGAGTATGGTCAAAGAACTTGCACTTTCAACACATGCCTCAAGAGATTGTTACATATAATAAAATTTGGGAACCACCGACCTAAGAAAAATACAGATGATTTTCATGATCTTACATTGAAGCATGTAAAAGCCAGAGGAGAGGTGTTAGAAGAAAATCTTTACCGTAGAGTTGGTCTCGTCTATTTAAAAAAAAAAAAAAAATAGTTTGACTTAGCAAAATGTCGCCACTCTATTATCATTCAGAAAACCAGAACTATAGACCAAAATTAGACTTTTTCCAAATGAGTAGAACAAAATTATCATTTTGTAGAAACTAGGGCTAGTTCTTATTTTTTTGCATTGAAGCTTTATTCTATAACTTTAAAAAGAATAGTATATCAATAAAAATACCTCAAAGATGGCAATGACATAATTTCCCTTATTTGTTATTTTTTATTTTTTTGCTTTAGAATATGTGTATTCAAGAAATCTACTTAGAATTTAACATCTAATGTGTTTATGATTGTTCTTAAATTAGTGACAGACTGGGTTGAATCTGAAACATTTCTCCATGGAAATACTAGAACTTTGTTGCATAGCTTGTAATATTATGCTTTTTTCTAACCATTTGATATCTGCCACCTTTGGAGATAGTATACCAAAGAAGTACATTTCGGGACCATTGTGTTATAAAACATTCCATATCCTTTTAAAATTTCCTTTCTATAGAACTAGGGCTTTGTGATCATTAAAATTAACAGTTTCTTAGAACTTGCAAATTTTAAATGTTACTATAAAAGCCAACACCATTATGCATGAGAAATCAAAATTGTGAAGAGCATTAGTTAAATAAGGACCTATAACTGATGCTAAGGATATTAAATTTTTTTTTTTTTTTTTTTTTTACTTTGTTTAGAGAAACTCCTTCGGGGTAAACTAGACTGCACATAGCTAAATTCACAGATTGTTATGCACTTTTTAAAATAAATAAGATACTGTACCATATGAGAATATAATTTTAAGTGATACAGCATAGCATCATGGAAAATTGAAGAGATTTCAAATTCAGAATATCTGGATGTGAGACTCAGCTCTCCCAGTTACTCGGTATCTTGAGCAAGTCACTTTCAATAGCACTGAGCATCAGCTCCTCATGTGTAAAGTAAACATAATAACCTGGCATAAAAAGTTTGAAAAGAATAGAATATCTATAATTTCACATATGATGTATATGAAATATGTACGAAAGAACTTTTTAAATTATAAGTTACCATGCAGATGTAAGGCTGTGTCATTTTGAGGCTATGCGTTACAGGGGAAATTGAAAGACAGTACATGTATTACATTATTTAAGAACTTCTGTTTAACTTTTATACTAAATTTAGTAAGAATATTGTCGTACATTTCAGGTAGTGCTTTTCAGGTCTATATTTAATTTTAAGTTATTTTTCTTTATACTCAAACTTGAGTGTTTATCTTAGCAAATCAAATGAGCATGATAGTTCTTAAATGCTCAGAATCATAATTCCTGGCAGAATGCTTTGTCCATATATAGTAAGTAGTTACCAGGTGTTTTTTGAATTAAACCTATAAATTAGTCAGATGAAAAATTAAAAAGAATATCAGATATAGGTTTCTAGAAATGATGTTTTTAGTGTTATGTGGAAAATTAGACAAGATAACCTCTAAAAGCCCTTCTAACTCTGCAATGAATGTAATCAGATGACATCATTTTATATATATATGTATTTTCTCTTCTGCAGTCTAGTTTTATTTGCATACAAATGATTAAAACTGTTTAATAACTTTGCATTATTCTCCGTTAGAGTATGTATCATTATAGTGTGAAGGCAAAGAGGATACACTGTTTCAATTGTGGGAAAGAATTCACGTTTTGCAAAATATAAGAGACAAATCTTAGAGTATTTGCATGGTGATAGCTATTTCAAAACAATTTCTAAACTACATCTACTGTTTGTTACTAATGAAAGCTACATCTCTTCATGTTTCAGGAATTTGAGAGGAGAAAACAAGAGAGAGAAGAAGCTCAAAGGCGCTATAAAAAGAAGAAAATGGAAGTGTTCAAAATATTGAGTAAAAAGACTAAAAAAGGCCAACCAAACTTGAATTTACAGATGGAGTATCTTCTTCAAAAAATACAAGAAAAAAATTGAATCATATTTTTTTCCTCACAGGTTAAAATACCTGCTGCCTATTTAGTTCTTTCGTATGTGTAATAGGAACCTCCTAACAATGAAGTTGATTTGTCAACATAAACTGGATTGCTAAACTCTACTAAATACAAAATGTCCAAATATTTTTGTTCTTATAAAAGAAACTTTTCTATATACGCTCTACATAATATGACATGTTTCTTATTTATTTGCCTCCGAAGGAAGGTTGGCCTGAAGAACTGAAAGAACCTTAGATTTGGGAGACAGGCTCAAGCATGTAGTACTTTTGTACCATATGAAATTTGTATGAAATAAAATGTTTTGAAAATAAGGGAGCAGAGCTTCTAATGAAGGATTTCAGTGAAAAATTTCAATTTAATAATCAGCTATATGGTTTTGAAATTCATTTTAATGATGAAGGAGGCAAAGACTCCCCTTGGATTATCTGTTTATTTATTTTAAATTAAGTGCATGTTATAGGGGGGTGGACTTTCCAGATACTTGGGTGCTGAAATAACCTGCCTTCACAGTATAACAGGGTGTTCTTTGTAAAGCAATTTAGCTTATGAACTCAGAGAATCTGGTATTTATAAATATTCCCTTAAATGGAGGTACATAGCTTGCTCATGTAAGATCTTTTAAATGATGGTGGAAACTCAGCAGTGTCATAGCCAGAATTAAGCTTTTGAGATCCTCTGGGACCCTGCACTGTAAGAACATTGTCACTGTGTCATCCCCGTTGATACTCTTGTGAGCTGAGGGAAACTACTGGAATAATTGTTTCTCCTGCCTTGCAATTAAGGCAAAAGTTCAATAGGAGGTGCTTAGGAAACACTGAACTTACTTTTTTTGTTTGTTTGTTTTAGGAGATTGGTCTTACTATCTTACCCAGGCTGGCCTTGACCTTGTAGGCTCAAATAATCCTGTCTCAGCTTCCTGAGTAGCTGGGGCTACAGGTATGTGCCACCATACCTAGCTTGAATGTATTCTTTATTGCACAGAAAAACAACACTTAGAATTTTGCAATATGCTATATCGCATTTAAAATAAGCAGCCCAGAATGCCTAAATTTGGCTATATTGGGAAAGACAATACATCATTATGCACAGTAAAAATATTTCAATAAATTGTTTTATAATGATTTTATGTCTGTACTTCTAGATGCTTTATCATGACAAAACATGGAAGGAGATCTAATCCTTTTGAGAGAAGAGTGAAAATTAGTTAAGTATATTTTAACTGTTATCAAGCAGCTGCTATGTGAAAGGTTCATGTTAAGGAGTTATTCTTTAAAAAAAAAAAAATCAAGGTTTTTACAGGAGTAAATGCCAAATAATGACATAATAGGGCAAAAAATAATCAGTGACAGTCATCTATAAAACAAAAGGTCCAGACTTTAATGCAAAAAAGAATCACCCAGGGAGCTTCTTAAAATGCACATATTTGCTCCCTATCCCCAGAGTAGATGTGTAGTGTAGATGGGTTCGGTAATGGAAATTCTGACAGGCAACCCCAGTGATTCTGATGTGGTTGGTCCTTATACTACACTTTACAAAGCATGGGACCAGGACCTCAGAGAAGAAAGAGATTTTGTAGAAGAAATCAGAGAAAGTTTCATGGATAAAATAGCAGTTAACAAAAGCCTTTAAGGCTAAGATTAGAGGTGAAGATAGCATGAGGAAAATTACAAAGAGAAGAAAGCTTAGATATTTAAATCTAAAAATTAGTTATAAAATATATGTATATTATTGTTATGGATGGGGAATAACTCTTATATCCGTTTCCTTCCATACGGAGGGGCACCATCAGCCTCATGGTCTTAACTACCTGTGCCACTTTTTCTGCCCAGGAGGGGTAAAGTGACATGCAAATGTTAAGTTTGAGAGGAGGACCTGGGTTGCCAGCAGAGTGCATGTACTCTTGCTTGCTCTTCTCATACTGTAAATTGTGAAGAACAGGCTCTTTTGATGAATGGTGGAGGGGGATGGACACAGCAGGGAGAGGCCAGTGTTTTAGGGAATGTATCTAAAAATTTGTGCTGCATGTGTCAGTTCATCATGAAATAAAACAGGAATAAAATTTGAGGGAGCACAGTATGTAAGCGGAGAGGCTTTGGTGTGGACAGAGTTTGTGGTTTCAAGCTTCAGACTTTGTGTGTATGCAGGGAGTTCGATATCGGTAGTTTGTAGAGCCTTCTATTGGAACCAATGATTTGATTTTTGTAAGTGTGCAGTAGTCTTTTAATTGCTTCAGTTTTGGCAAGAGGCTTTAAGGCTTAAGGCACATGAGATTTCGACCTGAAGCTTAGGATAGTTTTGTCCACAGGAAATTGGTAATCTCTACAGAGGCAGGGTGTAATACTGGGTTTTAATAGCAGAGGCGTGCAGGCCTCAAGAAAGAAGCAGAGTGTGGAGCTGGGGTGGTGGAGATATATAGGTTTCAGCAAAGGCATAGAATGTGGGAATGGGGCTCACCCAAATGCTGGCCTCCTGGGTGGCCTCAGCAGATGTCAGCCAAAGGTGAGAATCAGCGAGTGACTGGCTATGCTGGCATCAACAATGGCACTGCCTTGTGCAGAGAATCACGTGCAGGCTGCTGCAGTGTGACCTTGACCTATATTAAATATGCATGTGTGAGTAGCAGGCTTGTCAGGTGCTGCTAAGACACTGGAAAGCAATCTCATTTGAGGCAAGGATTTAATGGAAAAAAAGAATATTAATACCTATACCAGACATCAATGACTATATCGGTATTTGCTACTTTTAAACTTCAAAGCAAATGTCTTGTATGCAATACAGAGTTGTGGAGAATCTGAAGGTCTGAATTGTTCATGACAGTCATTGAAACACAGTATAAAAGAAAATTTGGAATCTAAAGAGATTTTGAACATACTAGATGAGAAGGATAAGAACCAGGTCAAAGGAGGTCTGGTGATTGGGACTGCATCTCTGCATGTTCTGTACTTTGTAAGAGGACATCAGTGTTTCAAATGCCATTCTCTGAAAGAGAAGATACAGTGTGCCATGTTAGATGCATGGTGATAAATTTAACGTCTTGCTGCCAAATTTCTTCCAATTTAGTTTATGTGTACAGGTCCTATGACTAGAATGCTGCTGAGGCTAAGGCTGTTACCAGTTATCCTCCTTCCTACAGATCTGTGGGTTTCTATTATAGAGTTTCTGCTACATTGTGTCTTTGGCAATAACAACTACTGGATTCTGGAAGCATAATTTTGTTCAGGATAACTGCCATTTAAATTTGCTGGGTATAAAGCAAGTGTTGTGGTTATCTTGGGTGTTTTATTAACTCTAGACCTTTTGTAAATTGAGGCACACCATAGCCTTGATGTTGAATTAATTTAACTTTTGAGGTGTTGCATGAGTTGTATCCCAAAAAAATACAGCCAGGCTGCAGGTGCTGAAGGAATCCACTTAGGCATTAAGAACATTTCTGGCTGTGAGTGAATGAAATAAGAAACTGGGAAGGACTTTAATTAGACTTTTACCTTATAGCAGCAAGAGAATTTGATTCTGGGCTTTGAATTTTTAGTCTTTGGACATTAACTTCAAAGGTAACTTGGTATATGGACTTAATTTTCTTCCTAGGAATTTGCTAAGGGGAAGATTTATACTAATATGTGGGACGTTGCCATTTTCCTAGCATTTTGACAATGAGTAGTCTTTATGTATTTGGATAATTACCACTGAGAACACTCGATTGGATCACACAGAGCTGATAGAGAGCCCTACGATGGAAATGCACACTGTATGGGCCTGGTGACCCTGGGATTTATAAACAGATTCATTGAGGTATAATTGATTGAACATATTTAAAATGTAAAATTTGGTGAGTTTGGACACGTGTACACGCTGATGAAACCATCACTGCAGTCACCTACTCATCACCATCACTTCCAAAAGTTTCCTCAGAACCCTTTGTAATTGATCATCCCAGTGGCTCTCCAAAAGAGCCAGCAGATAGTGGCAGAGGCAGCCACTGATCTCTCTGTCACTATATAGTGTGCATTTTCAAAAATTTTATAAAGTTGGAATCATATATTATGCACTATTTTTTGTCTGGCTTCTTTTAGTCAGCATAATGATTTGTAGATTTACCCGTGTTATTGCATTTATCAACTGTTTGCTTCTTTTTATTGCTGAGGATTCTATTGTATGGATATATCACAAGCTATTTATCGCTTCACCTGTTAATTGGCATTTGGGTTGTTTCCAGTTTTTGGCTCTTACAAATAAACCACTGTGAACATTTTTATATATGTCTTGTATGGGCATATGCTTTAATTTCTCTTGAGTAAATACCTAGGAGTGGAATGGTTGAGTCACAAGGTAGGTGGATATTTAACTTTTTAGGAAATACGACATCGATAAAGAGATTAGGCACTGGAAAGGTGGCTTCCTACTAAAACTGAGAAAGGAGTCTATTAGGGGTCCAACAATGACACCCCTCCAAGGACCTCAGTAGTATCCCATTGTATCTCCTATATTTTATCTGTTTGCAGGGTAGGTCTTCCAATTCCTTGTGGATACACATGCTGTGTTTTCTACCTTACATCTCACCACTTGATCCCAACTTGTTCTTCAGAGTACCAATAAAATAACTGGGAAGGGTGCCTCTAGCAAACACTGATAACTTATGATCTTACCATTCTCATTACTTTTACCAATTTCAATTGTGAGCCTTTGCTCCAGCTAACTTACTGAGACTTACTGTAACAGCAATATGAAATTAAATGTCTTCCAGAAAGCACTACATTAAAATAACCCAAATTATAGTAGTTCCCTTGCATGTAGTGGCCTCTCCTGATACACTGTTAGATCAGGTTTCTTCTACTTCTTCTACTCTTGGGGCTAACGATTCTACTGACATGAGCAGAATATTTGGAATTGACCTACTAAGGTTTAAGTGAATCCCCGTAAACCCCCACCAAGGTAATTCTAATGTCCACTCAAACCCAAAGAAATCACAGGAGTAGAACCCGTTATTGAGTCTTTATAAACACAAGGATGATCGTATCTTAGTTCTTGCAGTACTCCCGTATAGCCAGTTGAGAAGCCTATCAGAAAAGGCTACCATTTGTTCAAGAACTCAAGAGTAAGCAATAAATTTGTGATTCCTAGATTCTTGGTAGTGCCCAATATGAAAATGTCCTGTCCTCTAATTGCTGAAGTAAATATTTCAGAGTAGTATACATATGTGCAGCTTTCTCGAGTAGACATGTAGATAAAGACAGTTAACATCTGTTTACCATTTTGTGGCAAAATTAACAGCATATGTGGATGGTTATACCACAGGTTCCCTTACCCTTGGTTTTGCTTTCCGAAGTTTTAGTTACCTTTGGTCAACAGCAATATGA